GACAACCCTCTTACCAGCTTCGACATGGCTGCGTATCTCGCTGGTTCCAAGCCCAAGGAGAGCACCCCAGCCAACAATGGTGGTAACGGCAACAATAAGAACCAGGGCGTAAGACGGTAAATGTTGTGCGGTTATTGGGTATATAATGACTACAAAAGTTGGATGGATACACAGCCCTGTGGGCATAAACGGACGATAAAGAAGTAGATCATGAGATATGGCATTGTAAGCATTTAGCAATGATCATTATTCCATTGAACCCTCCCTCATCAGTTTGTTGTGGAAGTATAAACCTTATTTAACTACTAGTCACGGCGTAGTTACGCACAGCCTATTGTCGTCATATCCTCGTTCCATACCTAATTCCTATCCTGCCTATAAATCACAAAGCAAACCCAATTTCGAGTTCAAGTCGGAAATATCACACTCAGACTCCTCTTCAGCAAATGCACACAGAACGTATAACGCTCTTTAGTCACCACCATCATCGCCGAAATCAGCACCATCTTCTGTAAAGATGGTTAGCGAGCTGTTATATCTAAGGAGAATTGGAATGAAAACTTACCGAACCCATCCTGGTAGGCGTCCTGTTCATCGTTATCAAAAGAGTTTGCGATCATGGCACCACCAAGCAGACCAGCACCAGCACCTAGAGCGGCACCTCCCATCATGCCCATACCACCACCACCAGGTTTACGGCCACCTCCACCAAAGCCGCCGCCCTGAGGAGCTCCGTAACCAGGAGCGCCACCATAGCCACCGTAACCTCCCGGCGCGCCATAACCGCCGCCGTAGTGAGGTTGGGCGCCGTAACCCATTGGAGGGCCTTGTCCAGGATAGCCTTGGGGCTGTTGGCCGTAGTACTGTTGTTGAGGATAACCACCTCCGTAGCCGCCCTGCGAGCCGCCGTAACCACCGGCACCGCCTTGTTGGTGGCCTCCGGCCATCTGCTTTCCCTTGCCGAGCAACTTGCCCAAGAACCCACCACCGCTCTTAGCACCCCGTTCTCTAGGGGGAAGTTCTGTGGGATAAGAACCGCCGCCTTGTTGTTGAGGGTACGGGCTGTTGTTCTGGGGGTAGGGACTGTTGCTCTGAGGGTATGGGCTATTTGATGCTCCATATCCCGCAGGAACATCTGGACCACCAGGACCACTTCGGGCGCGGGCGTCTTCCTCGGCCTGTAGCTTCGCAGCTAGCTTAGCGTCTTCATCTTCAGAAGGACCGCCAGCTGACTGATCGCGATGGTCCTCATAGGGGTTTTTTTTGGTATCTGTAGGGATGGGCGCATTGCCTTGGTCGTATCCGGGCGGAGGGCCGGCGGGCGCGGCATCATCAGCTGGAAAGACGGGAGCAGTGGGCTTTTCCCATTGCGATTGTTTTGTGTAAATGTTGACGTAGAACCTGTGGTGCGCATGTCAGCGACGCCGTGCGCGTGTGTAGACAAAGTGAAGTTCTTACCATTCCTTGTATTGGTCGTTCCATCGCACGGCCCATCCGGCAGGAACCTCGGGGGCCTTGGGAGGAGGCGGACCAGACGGGGGAGCAAAGTCGGCCATCGAAGTAGGATTCGAAAAGTACACGATCGATAAAGATGTTGTTATAGAGTGCAACAACGATGTTGTGCGAGAAATTTGTGGTAGGTCGACGTCTGAGGAATTAACAAGAGTCGATGATGTAGGAGGTGGGTATAAGATGAGTACTTGGTAGGTTGTGTAGTACAAGGAATAAGTATAGTAAGGTCAAGGTAAAGAGGGGAAGTTGAATATCGAGATCACGACGTGAGAGCCAAGGATAAGGTAAGTTAAGGCTAAAAGCTAAGACTACGAGGGACTATTTAAACACATTGCCTACTTCCCTTGGCAATCTGGCACCTGCCACTTGTGACCTTGAATGTTTCGCGTCAACGCCACTTGGAGAAGCAGCATGAGTTTGGATCTGGAGCTGGAGGGGCAATCACCGAGACCCCGGTTGCCCCTCCCCCAACATGCGAAGCACAGGTGACGCCATTGGTGCAAGAGCTGTCATGTAGAGAGAGCACAGCCACCTTGTCCGCGGCTTCCTCGTCCGGTCTCCGACCAAGCCTTCCATTCATTAAGGTAAGGTAGCGAGCGATTGACTCTAGAAGCATCCAAATACCTGAGCAGTGAAAGATATGGTTAGTGACATGCGCCAAGGTGGCCTAGGATTACAGCTGCAGTTACAATTACGGTATATACGTTCTGCAGGCCACGTCTTGGAGTTGCTTGCACATGCATTGATGATCCTGGAATAGCTTAGCTCCCTCTCGGAATTAAAACGGCTATTCAGTGTTATGTCACTCCCAGCAAGTGCTCTGCAAAGGTGACAACCGAAGGTATTCATAGGCTGCCTCACGGCGATTTCCTCCAGATTCCAAAATTAATCGTATCAAACCCGCGGCTTCCAACGCCACGAATGACGCAGACAGTGACGATCGCTTGCTGTGGCGGTGCACCATAGCTTCAAGTCAATCAATGTCTGGCATGAGAATGGTTCCACTATGATTCTCCATGATCCGAACACGATCCAATATGCCAATTCCTTTTCCGACAGGTGCCTCGCAATCCCATTACTCGCCCGCCAAGCCTTCTCTGTCATCCTCCTCCGGCGGCGGATTTCTGTTCGTCCAAGGCTCAAAGAACTTAGAAGTCCTGGATAAGCCCCCAATGGTCTCCCATATCAAGAGGAAAGCAAACAGGGCCATGATAACGAACATGAAACTCTCTGCATTGAGATGATTATGTGACTCGGGAATGACGACGAGAATGATCGCAATTATCAATCTCATGCTGATTCGTGTCGTCTGTCCCATGAATAGAGTGCACTCACCTTCGACCCTGTATAACATCCCGTAGACCCAGAGACAAAGCATACCAACTCCAAGCCCTCCACCGAGAAGCCAGCGCTGCCCGTCTTCAAACTCCTCAATCGCTGTGCTCGCAGCTGCGATGTGGCCTCCGATGAGAAAGGATGCTGATAGAGGTAGATGTAAGAGAAAGAAGCCAAAGGCTGTCCAAGCAGATCGTCGAATCGGATGCGTTGCTTGAATACTTCCATCGCCACTGGAATAGACCCAGTTCAGCACGAACGCGATGATTAGCGTGCAGACAGCCTTGGCGTATCCGGAAGTCAAACCAATGCCCGTCTTGTTGCCAACAATGATGCTGTACACAAACTCGCCGAGAATGATGATGAAGAAAGCGCCCATTCGGTCAATCTCGTGTGCAATGTCAACAGCAGTACTATAAGTCAGGTGTAGCTTGGCCTTAATCCAGGGACTCAGAGTAAGCGCCCATGTCGCCTCTTGATAGAAGATGCCCACAGCGACAATGGCGGCTTTTGCGCGAATGCTTATGTCCTCAAGGAAGAGCGGAATGGTGATGACAAGACCGACAAACATGAAGCCAGCCATGATCCGGGCCTGTGTGCGGTGCTGATACGCTGCAAACGAGGTAATGAGGAATACATTGAGGGTGGTGAAGCGTGCTACGAGGTACGCTCCAACGGTAGTCCGCATTGCAGTAATATCCTCATCTGCATCGTTGGCATTGTTCGCATACAGCACCAGAAGGGCCATGACCCAAAGAATAACAAGTCGCTGCAGTAAATCATCGGTATAATACGAGTTCATGATCTCGCGAAGATCAGCCCAGATATGCCATGCCGGCGCAAAGATGAGTATATACTTTGCCAGATGAGCGCCATCGGGGTGCTCAGCAAGCTCATCGCTGAAGTTGGCGACAATCGCGACATCTACAGACTGTAAGTCAAAGCCTGAATAATAGCACGGAGATACCTACATAACAAATCCAAGAACAGCTCGAAGCGACCGGCCTGGCGCTCCTCTTCTTTCTCCTTGATAAGCTGTCCCTTGTAGAACCATTGCAGCGCCCTCGGCTTTTTGACCAAGAAGCAATCTGCTCTAGAGTGTTCTTGGAGCTCGTTGCAGTTCATCTTGCTTCAACTGAGATTGAAAGATGTGTGGGAGACAAGAATGAGGAGGAGGCTCTATATGTGCGATTGCTAAGACGGATAGAGATTTTAAACTTTGTTTCAGCCGCGCCTAGTTGATGAGGGAGAGCTGACTGGACCATTACCAAGCCATGCGCATACAGCTATTTTATGGTGGTTGGTTGAAGCTGAAAGCTTGTGTGCTGCACCACCCAAACACATCATTATTCGCACTGCAAAGAGTCGTATTCAGACTAGGAAATAGACTTAGAAATATGCTTGATTTTCTCGTTTTTTGAGGCTTTGTAGTCATTATTTATTCTTGCAATTTGTTCCTCAGCTCAAGTGGCTGAAGCTATTCTGGACTGTCTTATGCCACTAACACCCAAGGGTCGGCCGCCTGGTGTTGATCCCCCGCTCTCTCATGTTCCACCAACCACTGAGTCTTGACCTATCCTGCGATGACATTCGGATCATATTCTCCGTCAAGACCCTGCATTATCTATACGAGCTGAATCTGCATCTGGTAAAATACAGCAATCCCAAATTGCGATAGTACATTCGCATATCATCCATCGATATCACCCAAACATGTTGGTTCAAGCTGAGGTAACAACACTCTTGGGTATCTCATACACACAATCCATAAGTTCCCCTGTTAACCTGTCATCATCCTCTCCTCCAAAAACAAGCTCAGCGAAACTGCTCCTCGTTTCATGGTCTTCATACCGGCTTATCGCACACTTACTACCATCATGAAACTCAGTCATGAACATATCCAGAAACTCGTCACGACGCTGTTGCGCATCAATATAGAAGGACGGTGCAACGTAAAGGTGCTAGGTTGTAAAATGCGTTCGTAGTAATGGCAGACAGCAGGAGCCTGTTATGCGAACATTGAGATCAACCACGTGAAAGCCATCTGCATCCTCAACATATGCTTCTGCAGGACCAATGTACCCATACGATTGGGGCCACCTCGATATTTGGTTTGTCAGCGTTAAAATATTATTCGCAAATCTTTCTGTTAATTATAGTCGATTGTACTTCCAACCCAAGACAAGCTTCGAGTCAAGGAACCGGTATGTCTTGAGTGGAACGACGTTGGGATCTCTCTCTAAATCATCATTGACGACTTTACAGACGAGTAAGGCAACGCCTGTCTCGTCAATAAGGATCGAGTCAGGTCTCTCGCAAAACACGGGTTGTGACCGTTGATAATAGTAGGGAAGTGTTGCCAATGTTTTGGCGACCTGTATCTGATTATGATCTCTCTTCTTTAAGTCTAGATCCATGGACAAGAAAATCACTGGCGCTGTGCCACATATGAAGGCTTCAGGTTGATTTAAGAGTGATTTATACTTCATGGCGGTTGCTGAATCCTCTCTCTCTGTACTTGACCCCTTACTGCTTGTATAGGGGTCATCCTTTATCCTGAGCCTGGGATCCATATCAGGTTCATGGGGCCAAAGTAGTCGTTTAGAATATCAACAAACTCATGATTAATGTGAAATTTATTATAATTCTCTGACTTGTTGCAGTATCTAGAGATAGCTAACAGTCTGTAAGTGATATCTCTATACTAGCACTCATCATTATTATATGCTGACGTTGATATGGTCGCGCCTATCACGGCTCAGCAGCCCCTAAGCGACTGTGCCAAGTTTTATAGCTAATCAGATCGCTAAATTGCCTTCTTAAAACAAGTTTCGAGGCTAAAGTCTCACCATTTACTATATTCAGTTTGTTCACAGCTCGAAGTATATCGTGCGTTGACTCAGTGTGGCTGGGTATCTTGGAATAATGTATGCTCGAAGCTACTGAGATCTGTGGGTATATCCAAGTGGCTGATTCACATTCATTTTTATCGTTTTACAAGAGTTCAAAATGCTGGCCTTGTTTTGGTTTCCATCCTGATCCCTCTTCCGAAAGCATCCCTCCACACTCTCCTTGCCATACTCATCGTTCAGATGATTATGTTTACCTTCATGCTTTAATGGAAAAATATACAACACTGTTTCTTCGAATACTCTGATAAACTCTAGGAAAGACATCATATGGTTGATAGTTCTAGTTTGCTGCGTCATCTTGACACCACCAGGCTCCTGCAGCTTGGCACATGCAGGGTAGTTTAGTTACCATGTCCACGTTCGAAGGAATGACTCTCACTTATTAACAGCGACTGCAGGCAGCTCAACAAGTTTCAGTGCCTCAGGATGACGACTGAAGTGATAGAATCTTGAAGGAGTGGTCACGGGACTGTAGATCTCCCAGTTGTGAGCGTGAGTCACAACATCTGCCTGTAACATTCCAGGCTGTGGCAATTCTCGTCTGAATCCTGCATTCTTCCTTTATTTTTCAGAAAGAAGAATGGAATATTACTGCAAAAAGGTAAACGATCCCGTTCTTCAGTTCATTCTGGATCTAAACTAACTCATCCTTCAGTCATGGCAGAGTGGCCATTTCATCGGGAGAGTCAAGAGCCACGATGAGCTAATCCAAAACGCTCGCAAACTCATTCAAGACTTTCAGAATGCCCGTTCAGAAATTGGAGATGACTTTCCATCTATCGTCGAAACCGCCATTGAACTCGAAGAACTCGACAAGTCTATCGCTCTCGTCCAACGAGAGGAGTCGCTTCGGACCGCAGCAGTGATCAGAGAGATAAAGGGCACTATCAGGAGTGTTCACTATCAAAGTTGGGAAGCCGTTCGAGTAGTCGGGAAGAAAAAGAAGGCTGTAGAGAAGAATGGACCGGACGCTATGGTTCCAAAGAGATATATCCATTCATTCAGGCCCATGCCCAAGTGGGCTATCAGGACTCGGGATAACCTTGATAATGCTATATTGTGCGCGCAAGTTGGAGTCATCGGCAACGAAAAGGTTGGGTTTTCAACTCGGCCTCACGAAGTGTTTGAGATGGATGGAAAAGTCAAAGACGTTCTTGGTATTCACATGGTTCTTGCTTTGAGAATGTGGGATGATCCTACTTGCGTCGATGGCCGGGGCATCTCTCTTGGCGATGAGTCTAATAGCAAGGAAACTCGTCAGCATGGTACAGCGGTCGAAGGGGAAGACAAGGAAACGCATAATCCAGAGGAGAATTATGTTTATGATAATGTTACCCTCGACCAGGCGCGTGCCATGGCTGGTGAAGATGGGGTGCAAGGTTGGACTGAAGCTGCGAGGTTGCAACCTCGAAGAATGAAACGATAGGTATAGGTCACGAGAAGGAACATAGTATTTTCCTAAGTTACACACAAACAAGGAGGCATTTCTAGCAATATGGGTAATCATTTGTCATTATTAAGCAATGTCACAAGCCAATGGTATTGCACAATTTCATGATAGACACTATCGCTTTCTCATCTCTCCAATCTCCTAGTGGGTATTTCAACAAGCCATTCCTAATCACAGTTCCTTTCAAACACTCAGTCTCGCGTCTCTCTAAGGAGCAAGAGGAGCTTCAGCCTCCTTGTCACCTACAGGGACATCCTTCTTTTCGCCCTTGGTAGTGGCATCAGCAGCAGCCTTGAAAGATTGTTCAAAGTCGGCGATGATATCGTCAATGTGCTCGATGCCAACCGAAATTCGGATCAAATCCTGTTTTTGTTAGCAAGGTGAACCCAAGCGAAGTGTTAGAGAATGCATACCTCAGTGACACCGGAGCTGCGCTTCTCATCATCAGAGAGCTGCTCATGGGTGGTGCTCCAGGGGTGAATAGCAAGTGTCTTGGCGTCACCGACATTGGCCAAGTTAGAAATAAGCTTGAAACCATCAACAACCTCACTTCCAGCACCACCGCCTTTGACACCGAAGCTCAGAACACCACCGAAGCCTCTCTTGAGGTACTTCTTAGCCGTCTCGTGGTACGGGTGGCTCTCGAGACCAGGGTATGAAACCCAGCTGACATAGGGGCTCTTCTCAAGATATTGAGCAAGGGCGAGAGCGTTTTGGGCGTGACGTTCAGCACGGAGACTGAGAGTCTCGAGACCGAGGAGTAGCTGTTGAGCAGCAAAGGGGTTGAGAGTTGAACCGAGGTCACGAAGTATTTCGACTCGGGCACGGATGATGAAGGTGATGTTGCCGAAGGTCTCGTAGAACTTGAGACCGTGGTATCCCTCAGAAGGCTCGTGGAATTGGGGGAATCGAGCTGCGTTTTTGCCCCAATCGAACTTTCCAGAATCAACTACTACACCGCCGATTGTGGTTCCATGTCCTCCAATCCACTTTGTGGCAGAGTGAACGACGATATCAGCACCGTGATCAATAGGGCGGATGAAGTAACCACCAGCACCAAAGGTGTTGTCGACCTGAAATAAGCATTAGCCCAGCGGACACATGATTACAGAATTGTTGGCTTACAATAACAGGAACACCCTTTTCATGGGCAGCCTTGGAAATAGCCTCCAGGTCAGGAATGTTATACTTGGGGTTTCCAATGCTCTCAACATAGACAGCCTTTGTCTTATCATCAATAGCAGCCGCAATATCCTCAGGCTTGTCACCGTCGACGAACTTGGTCTTGATGCCCAGACGAGGGAAGAAGACCTTGAATTGGTTGTAAGTGCCGCCGTAGAGGTTAGAAGTAGAGACGATGTTGTCGCCAGCTTGAGCGAGGGTGCTGATGGCGAGGAACTGGGCAGCCTGGCCCGATGAGGCAGCGAGGGCTGCGACACCGCCTTCGAGAGCTGCTATTCTCTTCTCGAAGACATCGACAGTTGGCTTGTAGTGTAAGTGGTGAGTTAAGCTGGGTTGGGAGTCAAGAACTCACGTTCATGATACGGCTGTAGATGTTGCCAAACTCCTTGAGACCAAAGAGCCTAGCTCCGTGAGCAGAGTCATCGAAGACATAGCTCTAGATACGGTATTAGTGAGCAATTCATGCTGCGAGGCTATGAGAGCGTCAAGAGGCGTGTGAGAACATACGGTGGTAGCGTAGATGGGAACAGCTCGCGATTTGGTGGTAGGATCAACCTCAGCTCTGAAGGAAGCGAGTCAGTTGCGTTCTTGTAAACAATTTTATGCCCTCAACTACTGCTGTATATCTAGCAGTCGAAAAGCCCACCATGAAAGCCGAGGCTAATAATGAGTGAAACATACCCCGCGTGAAGCTGCAGTGTCTCAAAGTTCTTGCTAAGTTCCTCAGCCATGATGAGTCACGTTTCCCGTATCAAAGGATCTAATCTGTATGAACAACAGGAGAATAAAGAGTAAACAAAAGCAGCAATTCACAGATCAACCCATTCCCCTTTATACTCGCTCACAACTCATCCAACATGCATTTTCAAGTGCTCTTATTCTTGTGTATCCAAGCCTCTTTGGGCATGGCTCACTAGGACCCCGCGTAGCACGCCATCGAGCTCCCCACGCTTTTGCTTGAGCTGTCTTCACTGTTTGAGAAAGCTAATGGCTTGATCGTCGTTTGACAGCTGCAAATGTATGAATTGTGCAATAACCGAGAACCGCCGAGAACCGTTTATGATTTTGTTTCTCGGCTGGAGATGAAATAATTACGTATTTTGTATGATTAGTTGGGCTTGTCATGATGGTGATATGCGGGGTTGATAAATTCTACAGTGTAATACGAGGGCAGGAACTCGATTGGTTTCCAGGAAATAGATAAACTTCTTACCTTTGCAGCAGAGAGAATGTCACGTAAACCTGATACAAGTGTATAGCCCAATCAGCTGAACGTGGTATTGCACCTCCCACGCAATATATAACATCAGATGATATTGTCCTCCGCTCTTCATGTCCCCCACCATGACCCAAAGTCCAAGTCTAATGGTGCAATTACCACGCACTGCATTCCCTTTCTCTTCTTCGACCGTAGCACAAGCGAAAAACTGACCGAGAAACATATCTCTTCAAGCCACCGACCGGCCCGTTCACCCGGCGCCGACTAGTATAAACGCCGACTACCTTACCTCAGCTTATTATATAAGTATGATGTTTCTCGTACGACTTCGCATCTTCCTCTTTTGATCCGAGTCTCGGGGCCTTCGGCTCTATTGACGTCCACATCACATGTCGTGACTTTCACATACACCGGAACGACCGAACAAAATAACTCGATGGTTTTGGTTGAATGAATCAGAAGCCAGTCTAACTCAACAGCTTCTTTGACTTTCATTTCAAACGCACTATCAGCCTCTGCTACAGAAGGCTGCGAAACTATAACGCAGAAAACGCCGAGTTTCCCATTCCAGCCCAGAAATTCAGGTTGGGTATGATGTCTTCCATGCCGATATACTCCTTTGACAGTACAGCCAGGCTACTCAGCATAGCACTGCCATTTTGTCTTTCCTAAAAAATGCCCAAACGCCTGTCATTAATAACCATTTATCCTTTCCGATAGAGATTCAATTCCATCATTTGCGGACCAAATCCCGGGCTTTTGTTATGTGGAGTTCATGTACCGTCTGCTCAATCTCCTACGCCTGTCCCA